TTCCAGAATTTGGTAACAACGGTAATAGTAATAATGGTGTACAGTATATCACTGTTTAGCTGCTTCTGAACCAACAGAGAGATTGGAGCACTTGTTTTCACAGTGCCTGAATAAAACAACTTTAGATGTGCAGTGTTGACATAGTAATTGTTCTGCTTTGTCACATTTGGTATCTAATGCATAAACATGCAGGATGCCATTGCTTTATTTCATGTCCCTCACATATATCAGCACTATGTCATCAGGACACCTGATTGGTTATTCACTTAATGCATAGAATACCATAACTAATTATAACACCACACCCATTAATCAGTGACATTAATATCTCCCACTATCACAAACTATGTTGAATCAAGTGAATTAAATCAGGAAGCACTATTATGCCTCCGTCTCCTTAAATTGTAATGATTGATGACCACCTTAAACTTACAAGATCATTTTCTAGTAATTATGAGATCTTTTGTCATTTGGTGAATGCATTGCACTTAATGTGTAAAGTGAATGCACATTTGTATTTTCTTACAACTGAACCCAGAGCAGAAAAAGTACAAATAAAGTACAACATGAAGTTATTGGGACCTCAGCGAATTTAAGTTGCCATTCTTGTCATCATATATGACATGTTCCCATAAGTCTCGGGAGAATGATAAAAAAAGAAATGTAGCTGTTGAGCCATAATTCTGTCACTTGGATTTCACATGGTTGGCTCAGTCAGAAGGCTCAGTCGCACAGGTGCTAAACTGACAGCCGCTGACTAGTGTGTGTGTGGGAGTTAAACATCCTATGATCTTACGATACATAAGATACAAACCTCCTCATATACAAACAGAAATTATATCCTCCTTCTATTACTAACTTACTTTTTAGAATTTACATATTTTATACCTAAACTTGGATATTTTGGAAGAATATCACTGGTGAAAAGTACTGTAGTTTTAGGTACCTGTGCTTTACTTAAAGTAAAGCCTTTTCTTTCAGTCACAGGAGACATTTTACTGCAGAACCAGTACTTTTGATACTAAGTACATTTTGCTGATAATACTTCTGTACTTTTACGTAGGATTACATAGGATTTTGAATGCAGAATTTTTACTTGTAGTTTTACATTGTTATATTGGTACTTTTACTTTTAAGTAAATGATGTGAATATTGCTTATAATCACTTTACACACTTTCACCATGGAAGAAAAAATGTGAATATATGATTTTTTTTTTAAAGAATATCTTTATTGCAGGTTATTATTGGCATCTATTGTTTGTCAAATGCTTCTGAGTAAAAATGAAATACAGAAATCCAGACTGAGAGGGAAAAAATGTCACAACTTTAACAAAAGGGCTACTGTATACAGTGAAATGTTATCATTCAGATTCTCCAATTTTCAATTTAAGACGAAGAAGAAAAAAATGTACAAAAGTTTTAATATATGGGCAGTGTGTGAGGACGTTTTTGTTTTGACGGAGAGAAAAGGACTTGCCAAGGATATAATTGTCACGATGATTGTTATAATTATTACAAAACTTGGCATCAATAGAACTGGTAAGCATAATTTACCAGTACCAGAGTGTGCCAGGGTGTTTAAATGTGCAGCCCAGTAGTCTGTAAGCCCGAAAACCTCCCCCCATTTTAGCTTTACACAGGTGTGTTATTTGCACAGATTTATACTGCCAGATAAAGGGTATTATAATAGAGCCTAATTTTGATACCCGATTCTAAAAGGACCCTGTTCCAAACTTTCTCAAAACCCAAAAATCAGTAAGGTCTGAGCTTATCAATACTGCTATCCAGATCAGCGGGTCCTGTAATGTAACGTTATGTCTCGAGCATCAAATCTGGTTTAACTTGAAATGTGATGGATAAGAAAGCAGTGTTTTTTAATGATGGCACCGAAACGCGGTATTAAAGAGGCCCTGGACTGTTTATCATCAGTCTGCAGCCTGCTGCTCTCTGTCGGCTCCTACATACACACACACACACAGCAGCCGGCAGAGACAGACGCCATGCCGTCGCAGGAGAAAAAGTGAAGTTACGTTAGCTCCAAACTACTCGAGTTGACAACAGCTACGCTCAGTTACTGCAAGTTACATGCAATAAAACCTTTGTGAGTAAAAAGAGAATACTTTATCGATACACCTGTCTGTAGAAAGGGTTCATTTAAACTGTTCTGTCCACAGTCTGTCATCCTGTATGTTTTATAGAAACACAGCTAACGTTAGTTTGGCAGTTAGCCAAATGTTACAAACAAGCTAAATGTCTGTCTGGAGCACAGACTGGTTTGGCACATTGTTGTAAACTCAGCTGCTGGCTGAGACAAACCAGCCGCTCCTTGGGAGGAGGAGGAGGATGAAGAGGAAGATGCGGACTGATGTCTGAGTTCTTCATTCTTTCTTAACATCACTCAGTATTGGGATGTCAGATATTGATAATTAATTAAAAACAACCAGAGCTAATATGCATACTTCAATATTTTTTTATTTATCACAAGTCATATGTCATCTCAATATATAACAATGTTATTGCACATTGAATAATTTCCTCATACTGTGCAGGCCTAACTCATGCCTGTTGGATTGCGTCTTACCAAAAAATTGTCACCAAATAATAGTGAAGTAGTGATAGTGGTATTGATAAAAACTCGATCGCTCAGCAGTCTCAATAATGGTCAATATAAACAAAATTTGACGATCCCAATCCCTACTAATTCTGAAAGTAGCTTTGTGGTATGCATGATGGGATTGACTGAAAGAGATATGCAAATCGTGGGAGAACCACCATCTTCATTGCATTTAATCTCTAACCAGTGCCTGTTTGTATGAAGGAGTGGGCGTTTCCCAGGTTAGGAAGTGGTTGGGTGTGTTGAAGGCGATGCAGCTGTTCCTCATCAGCTCATCCCGGAGGGGTTATCTACTATTAGATAACCTCAAACATTTTATATTCCCAGAAGTGATCATTTTATTTACAGTAGTCTGCAGTACACAGATAAAACAAACAAACAAAAGTACTTATGGAAAATAACTCACTGAAGGCTAACGAAAGGCACATGTTGGTAGCAGCACAGCCTCACCTCTTCATCCCCTTGGGAGCACAAATTTCACTGTTTATATAGAGTGTTCGATTCACATCCATAAACTGCTTCAGCCCATCCCATCCTGATGCAGGTTGATCTACTTTTTTTTGTTCTATTGAGGTCACTAAAGTAATTGACAAGCATGCTCCCTTTTAGAACAATTAGAGTCAAAGGTAGACATTTGCCATGGATCGGCTCACATCTGATTAGACTCTTTTAAACAAATGGATAAAGCCTGGGCTAAATATCACTCTTCTTCAAATGCCACAGATTGGGAAGCTTATAGATATCTCAGGAACTTATGTAAGACTAAGACAAGGAATGCAAAATCTACTTATTATAGAGATAGCTTTTCACAGGACTTTCGAAATCCCAGAAGATTCTGGAATCATTTGAACCGTGTACTCAATAAAAATAATAAAAACTCAAATTGATAATGTCATTATTTCGGATCCTTTACTCATTGCTACTGCTTTCAATCAGCATTTTTCTTTGATTAGTAGTTCTAAAATTGTAAATTTAAATTGTGATACAGCTAGTCCTTCCAGCATGATCTGCTCTACTGGTGCATTCAGTTTCAGGTCAATCATGCCTGTTGATGTTTTTCATGTCATTTGTGAGTTAAAAGAAAGTAGCAGTGCTGGTCCTGATGGCCTCGAAGCAAGATTTATTAAGCTTGCTGCTCATGTGCTAATGTACCCACTTGCTGATTTATTCATCCTGTCCTTTTCTACTTGTACTGTTCCCTCAACTTGGAAATGTGCACGAGTTACTCCTCTGCTCAAAGGTGGAGACCCATCTGATGTGAACAACTATCGACCAATTTCTATTATCTGTTCTATTGCCCAAATTTTTGAGAAATAAATTTTCAATCAATTATCACAATATCTAAAATCAGTACAATATCTAATCTCTAATCAATCTGGCTTTAGACCTGATTTTTCAACCACCACAGCTCTTTTAAAGTTCACTAATGATGTGTTCTCAGCATTTGACAAAGGCCAGCATAGTGGTGCTATCTTTATTGACCTTTCCAAGGCCTTCAATATGGTTGATCACTACCTGCTGCTTAATAAGCTTTATTCCATTGGTTTGCTTCAAAATGTTCTACTCTGGTTTAATGCTTATCTTCACGGGAGGCATCAGTGTGTTGTTTTCCACGGTTCCCAGTCAGATTATTTACTGCTTAATAAGGGAGTCCCCAAAGGATCCACTTTGGGACCCCTCCTTTTTTCTATTTTCATCAATGATTTATCAAAAATCGGTAAAAAAAAATTGCTCAGTGCATCTGTATGCTGATGATACAATTATTTACAACTCGGGCTCAGATATATAAAAAATACAGAATTCCTTACAAGCAGATTTCAATCTGATACAAAAGTGGCTTCACATGAATAAATTGGTAATAAATAAAAAAGTCTTGTAATATGTTGTTTGGAACAAGGCGTTATCGTCTTAGTACTTTCCATATGCATACTAACTTTGAGGATGGGTCTCTCATGGATGAAGTAGATTCTTTTAAATCTTGGCTTTTGGATAGACCCTGAACTCAATTTCAAATTGCATATTGACTCCATCCCCGCGACCCTGTATGCAGGATAAGCGGTTGACGATGGATGGATGGATGGATACTGACTCTATTACAAAGAAATCTGTGGCTGTTTAAGTTATATTTACTGATCTATACATTGTTTTACATTTCAAGTCAGGAAAATAATTATTACACAGTTGATACTGCTGATTATTGATTATGCTGATATCATCAATATGAACACTACTGACACCAATCTTAGGCCTCTCAATGTAGTTAGGGCCCGAGCACGACCGTGCGAGGTCCCTATTGTATTTGTAAAGATTTTTTTTTCTTTTTTTTTTTTTCTGCAAAGTAAGCTCCTTTTTGGGGACCTGAGCATAATCGAAAACTCACCAAACTTTGCACACATGTCAGAACTGGTGAAAAATTTCGTATTTTATGGGTTTCGCGCATGGGCGTGGCAAAATGACTCGCTAGCACCACATAAAAAATTGGAAAAAGTTAGCCCCTCATTCACGTTCAACCAACATGCACGAAATTTTCTGGGGACATGTATCATACCAAGACGCACAAAAAAGCCTCAAGAACCCGTACTCTAAACTCAACAGGAAGTCGGCCATTTTGAATTTTACAGCCATTTTTGGATGATTTACACACTTCGTACTTTAACGAACTCCTCCTAGGGATTTAGTCGGATCGACGTCAAATTTCTGCTGTGCCTTCTAAAGGCATTGACGATGAAAAGTTGTGCTATTTGCAAGTTTTCATCAATGGGCGTGTCTGTAGCGTTGATGATTCGCCATGAAACAGGAAGTTGTTGTAACTTCAGTGTACATGCTCACATCTGGACCAAAGTGTACATGTAGGATGAGAGTCCCGCCCTGTACACATGTACATGTGAATGTCATTAGTTCATATGGAGTAAACCCTGTTTCCTGATTAACAGAGCTCCTTACTGCCATGTTGATTCCTTCATGTGTGAAATTCAAATTAGGTGCCTCTAGCACTTTGCTGAGCTCTCTGTTGTCTCAATGATGTCATTGTAAATGTCTGAGAGTTCACATAGGCCACTATACTGTGAGATGTGAGTACGTGTAGAGGGTGACAGAGACAATGTGTGCCGTTTTCTGAATGATTTTTGCTACCCCTGCAGCGTGTTGAGTGCACTGTGGGAGTCTTTTTTCCATGTTGTCCAGCATTACACTTCACATCACTACATCAGCACCCTACGTTCTCCCCCTTTTTTCTGAAACAGTACCCCATTTACCACCCCCTCTGTTTCAGAAACATCTGTGATTTGGGGCCACATTGTTCAAAGCCACATAAGGGTGAGGCACAGGAATGGTGGGTGTGGTGGAGTTAACGCACCTCAAATCATGCATCCTACGGTACTTCCCTGTGCCTGCTTCCTCTACAGGTAAAATGGGAGTGTTCCAGGGTGACTGTGAGGGCTCCAGGACCTATCAAACCATCAATTGTCACTGCTATCCCTTCCTCCGCAGCTGGTTTGTGTGGATACTGCCTAAGCCAAAAAGGTGGCATAGATTGAATGGTAAAAGAGATTGGGTTACAATCAGTGAGACCCACGTCCGTGGGACCCTCACAGTGATTTGGGGAGAGTGTCTATCAAAGGTCCTGTACTAGGGTGATCCATCTTTTCCCTGCCATGATCTCTAGGCACCATCTCTTGTTGCAGTGTGACTATGTCTGTGCACTGCAAGTGAATGCAATAAGTTTTGCAGCTGGGGGAAAAAGACACTTGTGGGAACTGGGTTGGAACCCAGTCCCAGCAGGCCAACGACCTCTTGACCATGGGTCCTAAATCTTTGGCTTGATGTTTGGGGTGAAGTGCCAGAGAAACATGTGGCACAGCTTCCTCTGACATCTTATACCACTCAGCCTATTCTGCAGTTAGCATGGTAGCTGATGCAACCCCCTCCGGGCCCACATGCAAGTTCTGGGAGGTTATATCCCACTTTTTCCCGTCAGTTGTTTCTGCAAAATGTTGCTGGTACCACTGGGTATTGTGTCTGTCATAGAAGAGCGTCACATGGGGAGGGTCAGGGGGAGGAGTGTAGGGTTCAAGCAAGGAGATCCACAGTTTCCACATCAGTAATGAGCTCATGAGTCCACCTCCTGTTGGTGTTTCAGGTTCTAGGAGGCCCCAGTAAATGTCAGCAGATTCACACTGAAAGGGCTTCAACAACCACTGTCCAGGGCCCGTGTAGGAGTGACCACAGAGGAACAGAGTCTCATCTGACAGAGTAACTGCCAGTCCATCTGCACTACAAAGAATTGTGGCACCAAGTTTGATCAACAGGTCCCTCCCTAACAGGTTCACAGGAACAGTGGATGAGAGTACGAAGGGATGGAGTAAGCACTGTCTCCCCAACTTTGTCAGCAAAGGTTTAGTTAATGGCAGCTTCTGTCCTACCCCAGAGAAACCTACCACCTCTACAGTTTTTGCTGAAATGTCTTTCTTCGGTTGGCTTTTATTAATGGTGGAAAAGGTAGCCCCGGTGTCAACTAGGAATGGCATTTTTCTGTTGTTGACCTCTATGGACAGCATGGGGTCTGCCTTTCCCCCGCTGTCTAGGTCTCTCTGTGGGGTGTTTCATAACTGAGCTCTTTGGTCTGGGCTCTGTCCAGACCAGTCCCAGTTGGTCAGGTCCCCCTGAGGGTATTGTCCTCTGGGTGCGGCCAGTGGGTTTGGTGCCACTACTCCTCTTGGAGGCCCTCCTTTGCCCCGCCCTCTGGGTTGTGTTTGGTGGTGCTGTTGCTGTTGGTTGTTAGGGCATTCTCGAGCCCAGTGACCTTCCATGCCACAGATGAAGCAAGCTCCTCCCCACTGAGGTCACCATGGGGGTTCATCTGTCTCTCCCCCATCCTCTACCTCCCCTGGGAGGCCCCCACGGTTGTCGGTTCCACTGCCCCTGATGGGAGTGGTGTGGATCTCCGATGGTCTCCGAGGGCCAAATTCTGTCCTGCTGTGAGCTTATCTAGTTGTCCTAACCACAACCCCCTGCCCTCCATTGGTGGTGGCATTTTGTCTACCAAGGCTTGTACCTCCCCTAGTGTCAAAGGCTTGTACCTCTCTCCATATCCACCCCCTAGCTGTATCAGAGGGAAATTACTGTCTGCTGCCCTTGCCCCCTCTCCTGCTGTATGCCTCAGCTCCATTCCATACTTACCTGCACTCTTCTCCATCCCTTCAAGTAATTGTTCTGCTTCCGCCTGTTTCCTCGCAGATTCCTGCAGTAGTTTCTGCACTGTGATGTTCCCTTGTTCACTAGAACGTGGGGTCCGGACTGAGAGCAGTTGGCCCTGCTCCCCCTTTTTACTCCCTTGCCCCGTGTCCCGCTGGCTGTCCTGCGGTGGCCATTGATCCACTGCTGTCCACAACTCACTTACCTCTGGCTCCTCCTCTTCTTCTTCTTCTAGTTCACTATCCTCATCTTTCCACTGACCTGAGAGCTGACCCCACACTTCAACCTTTTTTATTCGAGTTCCGGGTTTCTTGGGCCCTTGTTCCTTTTTTGTTGTATTTTGTTCTCTCCTGGCTCGAGCTCGGAAAGGTTCATGATTTCCCTCTCCTTGGCCTGATATGATCCTACTGACTTACCATACATGGAGCTGGTTTCCTCCTCCTCCTTGTGTTTTTCATGTTTAGGGGTGATCCGTCTGGATCCTTTATTCTCAGGCTGTCTCCACCTGAAATGTGCCTCCTGTCACCTGTAATGTCGGATACATACTTACCGGAGGTGCACTGGGCGGTGCACTAGGCATTGCTCCATTTTTTTATAAGGGGGTGGTGCCCTTGGTGTCTGGTTTCCTTGTTCTGCCAAGATGTCTAACTGCTTGGCAATCTACTGCCAGCACGAACCATTTCTGTCTCTCCTCCTCCCATCTCTTTTCTTCTTTTCTCCACTTCCTCTTGTGCATCAGCCCTGCTGTTGCCTTCTGTTCGCGCGCTTCGTCCAACTTCCACTCACCTTCTCGTATCTTCTTTCATACTACACCGTGCAGCGCACCCACCCCTTCTGGTCCAGGTGCTTCCTCTGCAACTACACTCTCCAGTTTGCGCTTTGCTTCCTCCTTTTCTTTCTCTATCTTTTCTCTTATGTCTTATGCCTACCACCACTACTGCATTTGCAATTTGTTCTCCCCACGGCTTCCATGGCCCCCATCCCCCATCATCAATTTCTCTGTCAAACTCTCCATCCATCCTTACCCTGCCTGTATTGTGTACTAGCCAGTCAGTTTGTATGGAATTCACCCGAGCAACTGACCCAATCAAACACTACTTCTCACTCAACTTCCTTTATTCACTTCGTTGTCACCGTTAGGTATCCGTGAAATAAAGGGGAGGTTTTTCGTGTTTGAGACACTAGCACCCAATATTGCCCTGGAGAGTATCTTTCACACACTCATACAATTCATTCACTACCAACACTTCATGTAAATCACCTTTTATCCTTAGAATTCGGGGGTCCTGAATTCCCCGGGCCAGTAACCCCGCGCTCTAGGGACTTTAACCCTAAGGGACCTGAGCCTTCCCTCCCCGTCAAGAGAGAAGTGGATATGCCAAATCAAGGACACAATATTCACTTTTTAAACCCTTTTACCATAACCAATAATCTCCTCCAGTTAATGCACTTTCTCTTTTAAACGACGTCGCACTCAGACCGATTTAGCTCTAAATTTGGATCAATTCAGGTCAAATCTGCAGATTCGTTAAAACAGGTTCTGCTCACCTTTTTAAGATGACCGGTCCGAACTACTTCGTTCCTTTGTGCTCAGTCAAGGGCCAAATCGATGATTTCACTCTCATCCCGGACGAGCCCCCAAATTGTTGAAGTAAGTCGACTTCACCGGGTTGTTGATGAGAAGAGATCAGATGAGACAGTGCCTTAAGTTTCGAGACCTTTATTACCAAACCAAAAGCAATTGCAGATATGTATCTGGAGACTCCTCACACCACCACAGAGTCTACTCTGAAGCAGTAAGCAGAGGAGTCTGTCTCTTCCTATGCAGCCTGACAATTTATTTATTTATTTATTTATTTTTAAACCTGTCCTGCCCAGCAGCCTGGTATAGAGTATAATGACCTGGATACCATATTGTGCCAGACAGATTTTACTTTAACAGACACGGGGATGGGGGGGCACAAACTGACAGCACAGAGAAAGGACAACACCTGTAAGAGAAGGGGGAAAGGGGGATGGAATGTGGGGACAACAGGGAAAAGCAGTAGGAAACACCAATTGCAGAAAGCAACAAAACCTGGAATAAAACAGAGAGGGGGGCTTGGGGAGGAGAAAAACACAACAAACACAAACAAAAACAAACAATAAAAATAATAATAATAATAGTAAAAGACAACCAGCCGAACAGCAGCAATGAACAGCTGACATAGTAAGACAACTAAGAGAAAAATGAAAACAAGAAAAAGTCACACACACTAAATAAGCAACACAGCACAGCCACGAGAGCTGGAATAATAATTAATTTAAATAAGTAACTGAAAGAAAAGCATCAGGAATAATTCTATCAGGGACAACCTAAATTTGTTTGTGTCTATGTGTGAGACTGATTGTGTCTGTGTGCGTGTGGGTGAATGTGTCTGTATGTGTGTGTGTGTGTACATGTGT